GTTAGAGAATTTTTCAACTTCTACCTGTAATGCCAAGTTATAAGTTTATGTCTTTTATGTTGGTTCTCAAAAAATATTAACACAAATTTTTCTAGGATAACATTTGAAAGTTTCTTCTCTTTCAACCGCCTCCATGAGGAAATGTAAACAAAAATGTTCAAGTGAATCCTCCTTTTCATGTTTAAGCTTTGTTTACATTGATGTTACTGTCACAGTGTGCCAATTAGAGAGACAGACATATGGATCTATTTGCTGCTTCTTTATTAAACAAAAGGGACACAGGGAAAACCAAATACAATCTGAACCAGGAACAGAAACCAAACTAAATTTGACCGTTCCAGATGCTTCCACAAGGATAGTAACAACTGAAATCACCTATACTGTATAATATTACAATGAAAACAGCTTAATAAACATACAAAACAATGACTTAACGAAGGAGGAGAAACAGCATAGATTTGTGTGTGTGTGTGTGTGTGTCTGTGTGTCTGTGTGCGTGTGTGTGTGTCTGTGTGTCTGTGTGCGTGTGTGTGTGTCTGTGTGTCTGTGTGCGTGTGTGTGTGTCTGTGTGTCTGTGTGTGTGTGTGTGTGTGTACCTGTTTTTCTATTCTGGTGGGGACTTAAACCTGAATACACACAGACTCGTGGGGACTCGTGTCACGGTGGGGACCTAAATTGAGGTCCCCACGGGTAAACAAGCTAATAAATCACACATAATGAAGTTTTTTGAAAATCTAAAAATGCAGAAAGTTTCCTGTGAGGGGTAGGTTTAGGGGTAGGGTTGGTGTAGGGCAATAGAAAATACGGTCTGTACAGTATAAAAACCATTACGCCTATGGAGAGTCCCCACAAGGACAGCTGACCAGACAAGTGTGTGTGTATGTGTGTCTGTGTGTCTGTGTGCGTGTGTGTGTGTCTGTGTGTCTGTGTGTGTGTGATTGCTTGGGAGATCAACTTGTGCAGTCTACCTCAGGAAGTGGCTTACCTAAAGTGTCAACTCCGGAAACCTATGCTTTATACACCAGTGTAGCTCTACAAGTGTGTAACTACTGATTGTCACACATCATTCACCATGAGTCAACCTTCCATGTGGTAGTTAAATATCCAGATTTCACCATGTACCCAAGGGTCATCCTAAAGGAAACACTGTACAAGAAATCACAGCAGAAGAGAAGAACTTCGCCGTGCAATTACAAAGAGAGGATTTTCATGTTAAACACACAGGATCTGACATACTTTGAACATCGTCCTGGGGTAAGTAGTCACACCTTCTAGAGACTTCACTGTAACCGTTAACCTGGTTTGTTTTGTAATATATGGAAAGTTGCTGCTTTTTATTAGATGCTAATTACCTTTTTAATAAGTTAAGAAAATGTCTGTGATGAATGAAGAGTAAAATAACAACATTCCTTTGTATATCGCCTTAGAAAAAGCCAACTCAGAAAGGCTGCATCGAACTGTCTCATATCAAGTGTGTGGAGATCGTTCGCAGTGATGCTCCCATTCCCTGTGATTACAAGTACCCTTTCCAGGTGAGAATCAAGTGGAGTTTTGCTTAAAGATTTTGTTGGAGCGAAACAGCTCATACAGGAGACAGTGCCTGTAAAGAATGTCAATATGTCATATCTAAGTGGTTTTCCTACAAGTCTAAAAGGAACTTTCTGCATGTTTGATTTTTGTTTACATTGCTTAAAGGTTTTGTTCATGTATTTGTTTATTGACAGGTCGCCCATGACAGATACTATCTGTATGTGTTTGCTCCAGACAACGACTGTAGGTTAAAATGGGTCAGAGCTCTGAAAGAAGGTAAGCAGCTGTTACAGAAAGAGATATGCATTGTAAAAACAGAAAAGAAAAAAAGTGTTTTAAGTGTAGACTGAATTATGGTCTTAGTCTGTTTTCAATAAGTTTTTTTAACTATTCAAAACACGTCAATGTATTTTATCTTTTGTATTTTATGTTATTTCTTCAACCTGTGAAGCGACACAAAATAACAACTTATTTCTGAAGTACCATCCTGACTTCTGGGGAGAAGGGAAATGGAGATGTTGTCATCAGACCGAGAAGCTGGCGACGGGATGCAGTGAATACTATCCCAATGGAGGTGCAGACTCTTTTACGTTAAACCATTTTAAACAGCTGCTTATTTGAAATCAAACAACATTATTGTCACTCCACCATATATGAATTCAGTAATTATAATGTGGAGAATGATGATTCTCTGTCCGTTTCCATTGGTTCCATAAATTTATGAGCGTTTCATTTCATTCCACAGCCAAACCTCTTCCCCCAACTCCAGATCCAATGGTTTGTCATTCAATCTCTGTTTACAGTTTCTGATGCTTATATGTATGCATATTTTAATGTAATGTTTTATTTATATTTCGGTTTGAAATTTTAGAATAGCTTCTAATGTTTAAGATTACTCAAATGTTTCTGTTGTTTTTGCTGTTGAAATGCTTAGTTTAATCATGACCGTGTTTGGATGAGATTCTTTAAACTGAGCTGTCTGTATTTATCCACTAGCGCCGATCTTCAGATCCAGAGGAGAGGATTGTTGTGGCTTTGAGGAATTTCAGCCCTGTAGAAGATACAGATCTGCCTCTGCATAAAGATAAAGAGTATTTTGTCGTTGACAGTTCAGAACCAAACTGGTGGACCGTGAGGGACAAAGACGGGTAAGTATCTTAAACCATTTTTGCACTCTCATAAGTTCAATTTATTATAATGCCTTCTAAAATAGTCCCTCCACTGTGAAGTTTGACACATTACATAAACATGTAAAAGAAGAAAAGTTTTTCACTTTGCCAAACGAGATCATTAAACAAAATGCCACACCCTTTCCACTCGCCGTCATGAATATCAGACACAAAAACCCATTAGATAAATAGATATGAACCAGTTCAGCATTCAGTATCAGTTCCTTTACAAAAAAGTCATTTGAAAATACTTAAAAGATTTAAACAGTTACAACAGGAATGTATTATTGCATCGTTTAACTATTGCATCATTCACAATGCATTATATAAACAACATGATAAAATGTTATTATTTGCATGAAATCTGGCAGTTAACCGATTTGAGCAGCTTAATCTACATTTTAACTGTTTAAAATTTTGGGGATCATGAGGCTTTGACAATGATATATAAAGAATCAAGTAATAAAAAATTATAAAAGCATGGTGTTTAGTTGGTTCTAGTTTATATATTGACAGCGACAGGACCCCCATACAGTTATTTGGATTTGAAAAGGCAATCAAAGGATCCTTGATATGTAGCATTAAACAGTGTTATTGGTGGAGAGTTGTGTGAATTATTTTATTTTATTTTATTTATAAATTCCTCCAGATGTTGCCATTATACTAAAAAACACTTCTATATGACTATGATTATTATTCAGCCAATCCCAGGTTATATGTTTATTAACTAAAAAAAACACTTATATAAGAATAAACAATGACAGCAATAGTGATTTATATAGCATATTTTCTATGAAGTTGCTAAAGTTTTGTTTAGCATAATAATGACAAAAAACATGGAAGAAGAACAGAATTGTGGGAAAACAATGTTTTTAATTAAAACTCAGTGGTAGGAAATGTAATCGTTTACAAGTAAATATTTTGTTGCTCTTTTCTCTCCTGTTACAGAAATGTTGGCACGGTGCCATGCATATATATTGCAGAAAAATTATCAAACAACATTGAGAAATTTGAGTAAGTTCTCTTCAGTATGTTCCAGAATAAAACATTTGATATGAAAGATTTGCTAAAATGTCTTGAATGCATATTCAAAGCTTGATTAAGTATACAGTAATGGTTTCGGTTTTTCCAATGCTTTATGGTTTTATAGATGGTACAATAAGGACATAACTCGGACCGAGGCAGAGAGCTTACTAATGAGAGAGGTAAGGCATCCAACAAATGACAGTCAATGAATGTTTCCATGTCAGATAACCGTAAACTCTGACTTTGGTAAACACTTATGTCATGCCACTTCAGTACATTTTCACAGTTTTCGGGCATTGCAGAAAGTTGGGGTTCTTTGCAAACCTGCAAGAGCAACGTCTGCAGACGGTGCAGGCAAAACCGTGCAGAGTTCAAACAGAAATCTACACACTTTAAACCAGAATGTGGCTGCTGTGTTTCCTGTCATGACAATTTTACATGTTATGTGTTAATTATGAGGGATCTCAGACATACACGTGAGATTTGAAACAGTTCAATGTCTGTCATAATCATTATCAGTAACTAACATAAACAGTCCCTCTCCCACAGAGGCATTAATACAACATTTATATCGACGCATTTATCCATACCACACAGAATAAAACAAAAATCATAATTCTATGTAGTCTATACTTTCTCATTTATGGTATTTGTATTAGTAAGTGTTGATATTTATGGTTGAATTTATGGTTAACAGTAAAGGTTTTATTTACAGAACAAGGACGGGGGTTTCATCGTCCGTGACTCTAAACAGCAAGGTGTTTATACCGTGTCAATATGTTCCAGAGTTGCAGGGTAAACGCTTACTTTGCTATGAAATTAATGTTACTTACAATCACTTACAATTTTATCCAATCATTATTTGATCTTACACTGGTGTTTTTGATGAATATCATTCATCTGCAGGACTGATGGAGAGAAGTATCCCCTAGTTAAGCACTACCAGATCAAAGTACAAAGAGAAGATGAAAAGGTCATGTATTACTTAGCTGAGAAATACGTGTTCTCGACCATTCCAGAGCTCATCCGCTATCATCAACACAATCCGGCAGGTAAGTTAAAAAATAATTCCATGTAAAGAGTTGCTCTTACAGTATATTGCATGCCAATATTTTAAATAATGTTCATTACATAATATCAGCTGCCTATTGCTATTTCCCTAACTTGTTAAAAGCACTGCTTTCAAAAACTGTCTTTTCAAATCTTATAGTTGGTAAAGCTTTAGATTTTAATGTGACAGTTGATTCTAACATAAAACTGAGGAAAACTGCATAAGAGTCTTCACTTTGTCCCGTGCCTGTTTTTGTGGCAGGTTTAATAACCAGATTGAGGCATTGTGTGACTAGAAATGTCACAAATTCAAGGATCAAGGAGTTGTCATCAGGTAAAACTTAAGCTGTCAAGCTGTATTGACGTGTATATTATAAATACATTATTTCTATTTCAAATAAATGCTGTTCTTTTGAGCTTTTATCCATCAAAGAATCCTGAACAAATTCACGGTTTCTACAAAAACACCAAGCAGCACAACTGTTTCCAATATTGATTATAATAAGAAATGTTTTTTGAACACCAAATCTAATCACCAAAATTACAATGATTTTTAAGGGATCATGTGACACTAAAGACTGGACCAAAGCCTTTGGTGAACATAAGAGACTTCTTACAAAAATCTTACAGACCCCAAACTTTTGAATAGTATATAACCACTTCTTTGTAAGATGCAACAAAATCTGTGTATTTTACAGATAAATGGGAGATTCACCCTGATGAACTGATATTAAGCGAGGAACTGGGCAGCGGGCAGTTTGGCTTGGTCTGGAAGGGAAGCTGGAATGACCGGCAGGTGGCAGTTAAGACTGTCCGAGAGGGATTCATGTCAGAGGAGGAATTTAAAGAGGAAGCACAAGTGATGATGTGAGTAACTCATGCTGTATGTTTCAAAGGACTTGACTATGTATGGATCAAAAGTGTAGCATGAATTTATTGCATCACTCATTGTCTGTCTCCACAGGAAACTGTCCCACAATAAGCTGGTCCAGTTGTATGGTGTGGTCACTCAGCGCTCGCCCATCTATCTGGTGTTTGAATTCATGGAGAACGGCTGCCTGACAGACTTCTTGCGTGCCAGAAAAGGCCATTTTTCCCAGTCTCCACAGGAAACTGTCCCACAATAAGCTGGTCCAGTTGTATGGTGTGGTCACTCAGCGCTCGCCCATCTATCTGGTGTTTGAATTCATGGAGAACGGCTGCCTGACAGACTTCTTGCGTGCCAGAAAAGGCAGTTTCTCCCAGGAGGTCCTGCTGGGGATGTGTTTGGATGTGAGTGAGGGGATGGCCTACCTGGAGAGCTCCAACTTCATCCACAGAGACTTGGTAAGTGTAAACGGGGTCTTTAATGTGTCAATTTCTTGCCTTTTTTTTGGACAATATTTTGTGCATTTGTTCTAAACTCTTCCTATTTAACAGGCTGCAAGAAATTGTTTGGTTTCTGAAGATAATGTGGTGAAGATATCAGATTTTGGAATGACAAGGTGAGTAGCAGCGCCTCGGTATTGCACACATCACTACTTTTTAAGACCTCAGTGTAATGGAAAATCCCACCTGTGTCTACAGGTTTGTCCTAGATGATCAATACACCAGTTCTTTTGGGTCCAAATTTCCAGTGAGATGGTCCTCTCCAGAGGTGATCAAATTCCAGAAGTACAGCAGCAAATCAGACGTGTGGTCTTTTGGTGAGTCCATGTTGATCAGCTGAGACGATGTTAATCAGAAAAATTATTCAACACTAACCTTTATCCACATATTTGATCTAAATATATATTGACATCTCATTTGCAGGTGTGCTCATGTGGGAGGTGTACAGTGAGGGCCGTTTGCCTTATGATAACCGTGGTAATGCAGAGGTAGTGGAGGCCCTAAATGCAGGACTACGGCTCCTGAGACCCCGTCTCTGTCCACAGAGTGTGTACGAGTTAATGCAGTGGAGCTGGAAAGAGGTGAGTCCACCATAAAATGCATCATAAACTTTCCAGAATATAAATCATCTCAACAAACTATCTTTAAACCATAAATTGATTTGAATATTAATAAAATATAACGTCATCCCCTATAAAGGTGGTTTTACTGAGAAATCCTGTTCTCATGAATAGGGCTTTTTGAGGAAGTTAGTCATGTTCCCATTTTGATTTAATGACTTTTTTTCTTTTCACAGTTTTAAATGTGGATTATGTAGGGTATTTTTTACACACAGTTAATGTGTTATTTTATTACTAAATCTTCCTACTGTGTGTCTTTTGTTACTCGTGTAATTCAAAGCAAGTGATGTTTCTGTATCCTGATCTGTTTATTTAGTTATTTGCCTATGCTTCTTGTTAGTCTCATTATTGCCACGGCAACATAAACACAACAATGTTTGTTTAACAGAAACCTGAAGATCGACCCTCGTTTGCTCTGCTCCTACATGAACTGGCCTGCCTTGAACAAGAACCTTAATCCTGATCACACCCTTCCCTGTACTGGCTTATAGGGATAGTTTTTTTTTTTTAAAGGACATTTTGTCATCATTTAATAACTGTCATGTCATTTAAACCTGTATACTGTTGTTGTTTGTTTAGTTTTTTGTGGAACACAAAATGACAATTTTGAAGAATCTTTGCATAGCAGTTTTCCGTATATGGAAGTTTGTATTAACCAAATAGGAAAAAGGGCACTTTAAATTGTATTAGGTTTTGACTTGCGAGCTATGTTTTGGATGTTCTTAAGCTACAGTACA